TAAGTGAAAGAAAATGGATGGATGGACTCGTTGACTGTATGTTTAGCATGCTGAACTTCAGATATTGACGTTTTTTCGGCCTCCTGAGGTTCAGACCAATGGTGTCATCATCTGAATTTTGCATTTGTATTATGCTTTGTGAAGTGCTGGAACATGTTTTGAATAGCTTGAGGTAAAATAGTGTTTGTAATGTGATATGACAAGATGCCTTTTTTATTTGTCTTTACAGAAAAGCATTGCTGCTTCTGAAGAAAAAACGCTATCAGGATCAGCTGCTAGTCAAGACTGAAAATCAGATTTCAAACCTCGAGCGCATGGTGAGTTTCATGAAATGACACAACCAGTTTTTATTTACCTAAGACACATGTTAAGGACACATATGGTTTGATAGCTCATGCATTTGCTTTAAAAAAGTAAGAACGAGGCTTCTATATGATTCGAAATACAACAATGAATACAAATCATCTTCCACTCTTCTTTCTTTTTTCCCCAATCGGAGAGATGTATGTTTCATCTTTTTCGTCCTATAAAATTGAATTGACTTTTAACTAAATCTGAGCTGAGAAATTGTGAAGAATGATTGAGATTAGAGATTTCTGTTGCATTACTATGTGTAACATAATGAGCCATATATTATCAATGTTGATTAAGTAAATTAAAGGCACAGTATGAAGATTCCACCACCAGGGTGCTCTCAATCAGTAAAATAACAAAGATGAAGACGAGGCTTGCAGGGAATAATAAGAGCTCTCTGCTACTTTAAACATTGTAATACATTTCTACATATTGTACCTTTGAAGCGTGCAATATTTAACAACAATAGATGTTTGAACTTGTTTGTTTGTTCTGATATGCATATCTGTAATGTTGTGTTGTTACTCTTACTAATATTTGTTCACAGGTTCAAGATATTGAGTTCATGCAAATTGAGATGAAAGTCATTGAGGGGCTGAAGGTTGGAAATGATTGTCTGAAGAGTATGCATGAGGTAGGTACACTTTCATGTGTTTTTCTTTTCTTTTCATGCCTTTTGTGTTCAGAGAAAGCGCCTCCCACACTCACATGATAATAAACCCGCCTTAAGCGTTAAATACGTGAGGGTATACTTCAACAACGTGAAAGTTTCCCCAGATAGGCACACTTTCTTTAAAGTGATCCTTGGGTAAGGATTGTGGCAGCAGAGAAAGCTTGCGGTTTGTGTTAGCGTAGCTGCTTGCACATTGTTTGAAGATTAAAGGATTAAGAGGCAAAGCCTTGACTACAGCGGTGTGACTGCAGCACATCCTTGGATACAGAGCACAGATCTTGCTGGAGAAAACTCACAAGCCAGTCGGAAATTTGCAGAAAAACACATTTCATGCAAAACACTTTATTTCCATAAAGCCCATATGACTTTTCTTGTTTGTCACAGATCATGTCAATTGAAGATGTGGAGAGAATCCTGGATGAGACCCAGGAATCAATTGAATATCAAAGGGTAAATGTTTGTTTGATGACAGCCTTTTACACCTTCCATCAGTTTGTGTATGTTCAGAAGGAATAAAGTTTGCTTCCATCACTGTCCATGTTTTTTCTACATCACCAAATAATGCACTCGTTAGATAACACATGTTTTCCATCTCCTGCAGCAAATAGATGACATGCTGGCTGGAGCCCTGACGCTGGAGGACGAGGACGCCGTTTTAGCCGAGCTAGAAGCTATCACTCAGGTAAATGTTAAGCTGCGTGTTTAACCTTTAATGATATAGAACATGTTTGCTGACCACACACCCAGCTCCACTTACATATATATTACACACACAAACACTGAGGACAGGTTGAACCACTGGCTTTAGCTGTCTGCCTTTGGAGCAGGGCTGTAGTTAAAGACATGATTCAGAGCTGAGTCAGGTCGAGATGGTCGACCAAAAATGATATGGTTTCAAAACCAGATTAATACCATTTCACTCTGTGGGGGAGAGGAATCATTCTGGAATAGAGCTCAACAGTGCTGGTTCCAGGAGTAAATTTCCCCATTCAAATCCTTCATTGACATTTCCCAAAATCCTCATATCAGGAGACTAAAGCCTGGAACCAAGACATCCGGCTACCCCACTACTTGTGATTATTAAACATTTGATTTGGCGAATAAACGGCTTTGAAAAACAGAGAATAAAAGCCAAAGGTACAAGACTGTGTACATAATTTTCCTTTCGAGTCAAGGAACTACACATCCCACAATCCATTGCGAATGATACTGCTTCTTCTTCAACGTAACTTTAGTTGTTGTTATAGTGTTTATACTGTGAATATAAGTGTTGTAATGTCTTGTGGTTTGTGTTGTGTGAATATATAATAATAATTAAATTCACTGCATCATAACAAGGTTATCTGTATATTTTGTGTTAGCTAACTAGCTAGCTAGCCTACTAGCGAAACTATCCGTTTGCATACGGCGGCGAGGGGCGGGAAATATTGCCATCTCAACAGTGAGCTTCACCAAAAAGAGACAAAGCTGTGACTCTATGATGTGGGTAGTGTAGTTATTTTCCCCGATATCGCAAATAAAGCATGTTTTTTTAAAAGGAGGTTGATATCTCACGAACGAGCGTATACCATCATTTCTCACTCAGGTAGCTCGCGGTTAGTCTATCTTGGATGGTTATGACATTATGGCTATATAATGAAATCCGTTATGGGGAAAATGAATGGGATTTTTACTTCCTGAACCACACTGTTGAGCCCTGAAGTGAGATACATTTTGAAGCACTCCACAGTATCATAATTTGATGTCATAGTGGGCTGTATAATTGAAACCCTTTGCGACTATTCAATTTGGTTGATTCATCATTATTAAATTACAGCTGACTTTTTCTCTGCTTTTGTGATCTAATTATTATTCCAAATGACACACACTGCTAAGCCTCTCATAGCACACATTATTCTATTCTACACTTGAACAAAGACATGTTGCTCAAAGTCTTCTCAGTCTGACAGAAAAGGAAAAGAGTAGTTTATCTACCCTTACCCAATATACAATCAAACAGGTTCAGGTTAAACCACATACATTTCTATACATAGGTGACTTTAAATAGAACATTTTAAAAGCAGGTAAAGCTTGTTGGTGTCTCAAGATAATTCCTTTGTCTCACAGACTTTAGGGAGGGGGTCACAAAGGGAGCAGTGTCTTACTTTCTGACCCCCTTTCTGAATTCTGAAGCTTGCATCACAAATTACAAACTTTTTAGGAACTGAGAGCACGTTTTATGTTGCAGTAACAAAACGATATACAACTTTGTTCTAACTTTCATGTCACTTTGTCACAAACAGGGAGAAGATGTAGCACTTCCAGAGGTCCCCACCGAGCCACTACCTGAAGTCCCAGAGGCAGCTAAAGCGAACCAGGTACAGTTCTTATTTCACACAACGCAGATTTCATTCCACACACAAGTGTATTTTCTTTTGGTACCAGACTGATCATATTTGCTTTACTTTGACTTTCATTTCCAGAGAGGAGAGAAGCAAAGAAAACACCGGAGAGAGAGATGTTGGCAGCGTAACACACCAAATGAGAGGACTGAAGCTTGGCTGTCTTTCTTCTGATAGCCACTCTGTGATTCTGAGTATTTCATCCTTAAATGTTTGTTGATGAAGGTGAGGCCTTTGCTGTTCACCTTCGCAGCTTTTACTGGATCAGCACTGTGTTTGTACTCTGCTCCTCTGAACATCTACATAAAGGAAGTGAAATGTCTGGACTTTGATTAAGCAATGTCACATTGTAACTCTCCTAGTTTTGGCAGAACACAACTAAAAGACTGACTTTTAGATGTTTTACACATAAAATCATTTTTTCCATAGTAAAATGAGCTGTGGCAACAACATCTCTTCTTGACTTTTCTCTCAAAACTAATTATTTTTCCCTTTTTTTTTAAACTAGTAAGGTTATATTTGTCTTGTCAAGTTGTTCCAAAGTTTTGCTCACATTTTTCAGTTTGTATACCATACTTCCTCCACAAGAGGGCGCTCCTTGCTAGTTTTTGTTTTCTTTTTGACAGTCTCTAAACAGGTGTCTTCACTCACATGCATTCAGTTGAGTGTGTGGTTATTGACAGAAAGTGAAAACCTCAGGTCAAAATGTAGAAATCCTACAGGAGCACTTTAATTAGCATAATGAATGAAGAATGGATGACTCAATTAGGCAAGCAAAACTTATTTACAGGCTTAAGTCATGACTCAGAGATTTTCTTTTTGTAAACAAGACGAGCAAACTTTAAGGGACAGGTCTCTCTCTCTCTCTCTCTCTCTCTCTCTCTCTCTCTCTCTCTCTCTCTCTCTCAACGATAACAACACCACACTGATCCTAAGGAGCTTACAGGTGGATGTCATGCACTGTTAATATGTCTATGTTTGGCTGGATTGGTTAAATGACAAGAAGACTGTCTTCAAAACTCTGCTCTTTGCAATCACCTTTATGCTTTTCCAGTTGGCTGATGTGTTTAATTTGGTTTCAAACTTTAGGGAAGACCTTTGGTTTAAAAATCACTGTTACGTACATGAGAGCAGTGTGAACATAAATAGGCCTACGTGATGGATAGTGACGTTTTTCCTGGGAAATAAAAACATTTGAATGTTTGAAGAAAGCCCCATTTGCCTGTGGATATGGGGGTGGGAAGTACAATCTACAAAATGGTGCTGCGTTAAAATGCTGTTGGAAATATTGGATTGTTAGCCTGAATGCACAAGTGTACGTGCGACTTGTAAAAAATGTTATAAACGCCGTCAGTTAAATATCCTAATAGTCTTTAATATTAACCTTTCAAATGGGCTACTGTAGTTCTCCAACATAGATTCATTATTCCGGTTCCCATTTCTCAGATAAATGTTGTTTAATTCAAGAAAGGTAAATACGTAATACTTCTACAAGGTCTCTGTGGCTACCTTAAATTTGGACTTCTGCTAATAGCGAGAAATCCAAGCCGCAGAGGGGTCCGTGAACGCAGCAGCAGGCTGTCAGCTGTGGAGAGGGAAGGTGTGTTTAGTTGGAGTGTGGGGTGTTTCAGGAGCGCAGCATCGTCTCACTCTCTCACGAGCGCCTTTTGCCTCGCCTTTTGTTTGATCTGACTCGTGTACACCCCCCCCCCTTTCCCCTTCTAATTTCACACGGATACACGGTTCACCAAAATCAACGTTTATGGTCCTGGCTGAAGATTCCACGATGTCTCGCACCGACGAGGTTCACCGCGTTACGGAAAATGTCTATAAGGTAAGGTTCAACTAATGAATAAAGTTTGGAGGTCGCATAAAATGACATGATGTCAGCCGATAGACACTCTAGTGTAATTCCACCTTAAGTGAGACTTTACCATTTGGTTGTAAAGACGCATTCAAAGCCTTTCTTTTTTCTTCGATAATCTCTTTAGGGAGAGGCGCAGTAGCACATTTGATTATCTCTTTTTTGGATCAGTTGCCAATATACCAAATCCACTGTCTTCCACCTCCACTCAGCTTGATAGTGAAGCCAAGACCTTTAAGTAAAAATATCTAAAATAAAAAATATTGCTGACAAAATCTAAGTCACTCACTCAGTCTATTCCTACACGCACGAGCCTACATTGCGCCTGTAATCCACCTACTGCACTGATTGTATAGTGTAAAATATTTCTACCATACAAGTGGACTCAACAGCCCAGTTTTCTTGCTGAAATAGGGACATATTGCATTCCAGAAGGCAGTGTTTGACGGGCAGACAAGGTTGGGCTTATCTGTTGCAACAAGTAAACATTTGCCCCATAGGGATTTCAACATTCAAACCTGTTCTACATAAAAACCCTGTGAACACTTTGCATGCAGTATCTCAGTATCTTGCAAATAAGATAGATTTCCAGTCCAAAGAAATGAATGAACATGTATATATTTTAAAATGAATGTTATGGTATTGTTTTTATTTCAGTGGATTGTTCATTTTGCTCCTTTTTGATCGATCATATTGTCTTTTAAATGGCAGAAAAGAGGAATAGACTTCCATCACAATTTCTGAAGTCCCTTAAAAACTGATGTCAACAATTTGTTTGTTTTTCTCCAACAAGCGGATAAAAAAAAAAAAAAAACATGCTGCAACACAGTGAAACAAAAGAATCGGCTTATGTGGGGATTGTGTCTGTGGGGACTACCATTAATTAACTAACAGTGCTTGCCATTGTTCTTTTAGGTACACACACACGCTTTTCATTGATTGTGTAAAAGGGTCGCTGATTAAGTTTTGGTTGAATAACAAATCCATTCATCAACTAATCTTTTTTAACATGGATTTTCTGTGGAATTATGCAAAACCACTCCAGGGTTCAGTCCATATCTCAGAGTTGCAAACACCTACTGATGGATTGTTACACAAAACTTCATGTCATTAAGGGGCTCCTTATCTGGGCCTTGTGGTCATCTCAGGTGCCTATTTGGATCAGAGCTCCTTGACAGTAAAGAAGGTCTCTTTAAAGATATTCCTAGCTTCTATTTACACATCCTTCTCCCTTACCCTACTTTTTAAAGCCCCTGCCCCTTTGCCAGGCATATAGTTCCCCAAACAGAAGGCCAAAAACGGGTGATGGGTAGCTGCTTCTTCTCCCCCGGGGTATAGACATCCATCAGAAAGGAGGTCAGACGAGCAGAGACTGACTGCTGCTTCTTTTAGAGGCAACAAGGGAAGCAAACGTTTCAGATGGCTATTTCTGAGCTCCATTGGTCACACCGCCCTACAGATTTATTCCTTTTTTTTTTTTTTTTGTCGGTCAGGGTTGGTTCAAGTGTTTACTCCTACAAATGTGGGTTAATCAATATGGACACACTGACGGTATAGGTGTCAGGGTGAGAACAGGTCTTTTCATAGTCAGGCTCATTGGAGTGCAAACCCAGCAGTGTGGGGCTCGGGTCCCTGGGGTGAAAGCACCCACCCCCCCACCCGTTAGATTCCTGACAGCCAGGATCGCTGACGGGCAGCAGCGTGAGTGGAAGAAGAGTGACTCCTTCTCACTGAGGAGCTGACACGGTGGCAAAAAGCTACGAGGTCGGGTCACAGCGAGTGTTATCTCCAGCCACTGCTTATTCTCCCCTGCAGTGTGAAAACAAGTTTCTAAGTGTGCTTTCATATTTAAAGAGACGGGTTCAGTTTGTTGACTCCAAACAAATTTAAAGGATGGAAAGCAGAAGTCTTTCTGTAAGTATGCTCCATGTTACCACATCCCCTTTTTAAAATGACTTTGGTAATCTGTGCTGAACTCTGCGATCAGTTTGGATTCAAAACAACTCTCTGTCTTAAGTTAAGGTGCAGACTTTAATTTCACTTTCCTGCCACGTTGAGGGAACGTTGATGCTGCAAGGGGTGTTGCATAATTTAATTAGATAAAATTTAAATTACTTATGTAAATAATTGAATAGATGCAGAATTTATCCAAAAAAAAACTTCAAGAACAGTGACAATTAAACTGAGTCCAACCTCATTATTTCAGTTCCACACTGCAGGGTACAACGACGGGATATTCTCCGCTTACAAGCTGCCAATCAGGGAGTTGAACCTTTTGATGTTCTGCAACCTTTTTATAAATCTTTTTTCTGTTCGTTTGCTGTAACGGTGAAGTATAGAGACTTTTGTGCACCTCTCGATGATGGAAATGCTCCAATAGGAAGTCATCTAACATAATCTTCCGGGGAAATGAATGGGACTTCAACTTCCAGAACACCTGCCAACTTCTCCCTCCTGCATCCACATTTGAATGCAGACGCAGACATTTATTGTGTGTGACTGTTTTGCATGCAGCCAGACATCTCCTGAGGAGGAGGAGATGTAAAAAGTCACAGCAGCTACAAAGTCATTGCATCCAGCAGCTGGGCAGATACTGAGTAATCGCCAGGGAGGGATGTAGGGGGTAACTGCGCTGCTGTGACTCATGTTAGCCCAGTTGAGTGTGTGTGTGTGTGTGTGTGTGTGTGTTTAACAGGGCTGGGGCTGTGAGCACAGTGAAGGTGAGACTGGAGTTTCAGAATGTCACAGTGAGCGTTGTTCCCTTTTAGGTAAAGGCTACGGAGACACGCCTTAGTGTTTTGGAGATGACTTTATCTCAACCGACATTGGGAGTCAACCCTGTAAAAACCCAGCAATCCCGGCGTGATCCTCAGTGACTCACTTCAGCTCTCCTCCCTCACATAGGCAGGCAGTTCCAGACGTGGCGATTGGCATCTAGTCATTCCCCGCGCGCTGACGGGCCGAGACAGATACTTAAGACTGACACCGGGCGCTTTGCGTGTATGTGTGTGTCTGTGTGTCATCTCCACCAGCTGGTCGTGTCACTGTGTCTGAGAGAGGTGGTGCCCCGGGTCAAGCCTCTTAGCCTGCCGATGGATGAAGTCTAAGGGGCCATCCTGGCTTGAAGCTGAAGTAAACAAACGGCTAAACCAATTGGAGTGGAGAAGAACGGCGCTGTGTGTTAAATTAGTCCATAATGAAAACTTTTGATTGTTACTAAACTTTTATCCTGAAGAGTAAAGGTTACATCGAAGCATTAGAACACACCCTTTTTGCACAATCCCACTTTTACTCGTGTTGATTCAGAGTCTTTGTCATAGGAAGTGTACATGCACTGCAGGTTTTTTTGAACACACCCTGCCGAGGTAAGGTAAGAGTAGGGTGTGTCGCAGCTCCACAAGTCCTCGGGACAACCCTCATTTTCCCATGCAGCACCACTCCCTGATTGTCAACACAACCTGGAAAACAGCGGATGCCATTTTCTTCTCAAATGGCTGTTGTGAAGACGTTCTAAATAGTTGTTTGGCAAAGACCGGATCAAGTGTGCTGATTGGTCACTTCTCCCTGGATCTTCATCGTGTCACGTGTCTGAATCTGCTGCAGTGCGGTGTTTGATTAATAACCCTGATCTTAAATGGAGTTCTTCTGCCTAAAAGGCGTCTTGTTATGTAATCCCCTTTCTATCTCTGTTGCAATATTGCCGGGACATTCACACTACCCTCCAATGAATGGCATTCTGATAACGATGAAGAGGATTACAGCTTCACCACAATCTCATGTGGGAGATCTGAACAGGTGGTCTCTTAGCAACAACGTGCCATTATTCTTATGTGTTTCTGTCATATCATTGTGCTAAAAGACTTGCAGTTGGTGAAGACTGGAGAAAAGAAATGGGGAGGAGAGTGTTTCAGGGAGAGATAGAAAGGAGATGTTGAGTTGTAATTGATGAATAATGCTTCGTAAAAGGCCCCTCCCCCCCAAAAAAAAGCGTCCAGTGTAAACCAGCCCAGTCTGCTGTGTATACAGACCTGCTGTTTGTCCCTGTGGTCCTCAGTTCAGTAGCCCCGGAGCGTCGCTGTAATAATGGCACCATCCATCACTTTATTTACCTTCTTTCTCCCAGTATATCTCATAAGGCGCCACTTGCCTTCATAATAAACCATTTAATGGAGTTTTAAAATGCCTTCAGCTCCTCAACATCTGCCTCCAGAATATAGTGTTTCAACAAGTTTATGCCTGCTTCTGCCCGGGGCTTTGAAAAGATCGCATTATGCACTGCAGGAGTTATCATAACATCCCTTGCCTGTGGAACAGCAGATTCGCTTTGACTGTGATGCAGAAAGAGGGAGAGAGAGAGGACTACTGCTCCTCACACCCACCTTCTCTGCACGTCCGGGGGCGGATGGTTTAGAGACATTCTCTCTTTTCTTTTACTCATCGCTGCTTTTTTTTCTTCTTTTTTTTCCCAAGGACAGAGACTGGAGATGCTTGGTGCTAAATGCAAAGCTACACAATATGAGCTGCAGAAGAAGAAGAAGAAGCTTTCTGCGCTGATAGAAAAAAGGTTGATTTAGAAGTCAACCTCTTTAACATGGCTGCCCCCGCCCAAATATTCCTTATCATTCACAAAAACCTGAGCACGTAAAGATGATCTTGTGCTGTACAGAGAGATGCTTTATTGCGGGGGTGGAGCAGAGGAGGAGATGAAGAGAGGGGAAAATAGATGGAGACATTCCACATCCTTGTTGAAATAGTTCCTAATTACTGAGGAGGGTGAAGCTGTAATTACAAAGACTGAAGAGGCAGAGAGAGAGAGAGAGAAAGAGAGAGAACATTTCAGTACTTCAGTGGTACTGGACAATGGCCTTACAATTGTGGGTCACAGTTAACATGCCTGTGGATTGTGCCACTGTAATGTCTTTTGCTGCTACTTCCAGTAGCTCTGGCCACACTACACCCACCAGGCAAGC